GAATATGAATATGATGATGGTGATGATGATGATGATGATGATGCTGCTGATGATGATAATGATGGTGATGATGATCATTCGGACACCGACGATGCGGAAGGTGAGGGTTAGGATGAGGATGAGGATTAATGAGGATGAGGAGGCGAAGTTGGATGATAATGAGGATGATGAGAATGATGATGATAATGATGATGAGAATGGTGGCGGCTAATTTTCTTTGTCTTTTCGCGTAACGTGCGTCACCAGGGGAGGGCGCGGCGCGGTGGCCTGGTGACGTAATGTTGTGCGCCCGCGGGGTCTGGAACAGTTAAGAGTGCTAGACATCCCAGTCGACTGTTACGTCGCTAACATTTCCCGCTGGCGCCGAACGTCACGTCACCAGGGTGGCGGCGGGTCCAGTGACGCCCGTAACGCCGAATGGTACAAGTACCCTAGAAGTACCCAACGCACCAGACGACGCCGACGACCACAACGACGACGACGGCGGAGACGAGGCGCGCGGAGGATCCGCACCGAAGCACGGATTTGGAAACGGGCTCACCCTGCAGGCTCGGTTTAAACAGCACATCGTTGAGTGGTGCTGCAGCCTCCCCTGAGCACGGGCCCCCCCAGAGCATCAGTCAGACAAATCGGGTTTGCACCCTCATGCCTTGCTGGACTCCGGGCGCGTTTCGGCACCCTCTCCCCCAACGTCGTCGGGGCCACCGACGAGGGCGAGGGCGGCGGTGGCCGACGCGTCCCTGAGCTCAAAGCGCCGCAGCTCAGAGAGCCAGGAAGACAGGCAGACAGACGAACGGACGGACAAACGGACAGCCAGGCGGCGCGCAAACATTGGCAATCCAAGTGGGGGGGACGAGTTTGGGAATTCTGTGGGATGAAGACGATGACGTCGATGAATCTGACGATGACGATGACGATGACGATGATGGTGAAGATGCTGTTGATCACGATGGTGATGATGATGCTAATGATGATGATGCTGTTCATGATGATCATGGTGATGGCGACGAGGATAAGGTTGATGGTGCTGGTGGTGACGATGGCGATGACGATGATGTTGATGATAGTGGCGATGGTGATGGTGGTGGTGGCGGTGGTGATGATGATAATGACGCCGATGATGGCATGCCGAGGATGGCGACGATGGCGATGACGATAGCGACGACGCTCACGATGATGCTGTTGATGATGATGATGGTTGTGATGATGATGGTGATGGTGGAGATAATGATGATGATGGTGGTTAACAGCAATATGATACTTAGGATTATTTTGACGTTGATGGTGATACTGATGCTGATGTTGATGATGCTGATGATGTTGGTGATTATGCTGGTGAGGATGATGACGGTGATGATGATGATGATGATGATGATGATGAGGAGGATGACCGTGATGATGATGCTGATGTTGATGATGGTGTTTGTTTGGTGAATGTGATGCTGATGTCATATGGCAGTGGTTGTGATGTTGATGGTGATGATACTGATGCTGTTGGTAATGGTCATGATGATCTTGCTGCTGAATGCAACTGATGATGGCGCGACGATGACGATGACGATTACGAATATACGTGTGTTGATGACGAACATGAGGATGACGATGCTGATGCTGATAGTGGTGCTGATTATGAGCATGCGGGCAATTCGGAGGGGAGGGAAGGTGTGGATGGGAGATGGGGGAAAAGGAAATTGCCCTGGCATAGATGTCATGCTGTGGCTCCTATCCCTGAGTGCAGCCCTTCTTGCTGCTGCTGCGCTGCCAGGAAAGCGAAGAAAGGCAAGGCCGAGAAACAAGCGAAGCAGTCTCCCAAGAAGGCCTCGCGGCGAATCGGGCGCTCTTCTCCTGTCCCTTCCCACCCGATGCCACATTTCAGAATGGGTGCCACCCTCATGCATCACCTGATCACGTAGTTTCTTGGCCCGCCAGCTTCGTTTATGTGCGTTCCGCTGCAGGGTTCCCCCAACGGTGGTGCTGTCCGCGGCCCTCGTCGGGTCATGTATCCGTGTTGGAGAGCATGTTGTCTTTGCTGCTCTTCTCCTCTCCTCCCGCCTCATCCCCTCACCCTTCCTGCCGCCTCCGTCCTCCTGCCTCCTTCTCCTCCTGCTGGTCTCCTGCCTGTCCTCTACCTCTCGCTTCACCCCCCTGGGCGCTAGGACACTGCCGCCAGCCGCGCAGCTGTCGGCCCCGCAGGGAGCGCGCGGGAGGTCCAGCGGAGGGCGGCCCTGCTCAGATCAGTGCCAGCACCTCCCTCCATGGGCGGCGCACGCTGCGCAAGTGCCGACACTTGCGCCAGCGCCAGGGGGTCCAGCGGAGCGTACTCCTGTTGATCTTCGGGTCATTACCCCCATCCTCTTCCTGGGCGCCGCAAGCTGCGCGATTGACACCACTCATCGACACACCGTAGGTCATCAAAGAATTTTGGCCTCTTGGGAGCATCCATGCCAATCTCTGCGGCCATCTGCAGCCGTCCATGGGTTAACTTGTACTGGTCAGTTTGTATTTTGTCTCTGCGTGCAGTTTGTATGGTTTTCCGCAGAGATGATCGGTGGGGGCGCGTTGCTCCTGGACGGCGGCCCGTCGAATGGGGGTGGGTGTTTGTTGAACAGGGGTAGTCATAAAGCACCCCCGAAGGGGACGACAGTGTTGAAATAAGAAAAATACTACGAAACGACCTACAAGCCACCTAAGTACGCCCAGAGGGCTGGTGGGATTAAGTCGCCTGGGGAGAGATGCGTTCTGGATCGAAATCATGTTGCGTATTACTCTGTGATGGCGATCGGCCCGAGTATTTTCTCCCTTGTTCCTGCGTTTCGGACCCGCGTCGTCATGCCCCAGGCAACTGCTGCGAGGGTATGGGTGCATAGATCTCGTGAGAGAGGGATCGGGACGGTCACGAGGAGTAATGGCGGAAGGGTCGGAGGGAGGGCGAGGCGGGAGCTGGACTTGTGGCAGTGACGACAGGCCAGTCAGGCCGTGGCTGACCGCCCCGTGCCTTGCATCTCTCTGCCAGGGGGGCCAGCGGAGTCGACCGCCCCTGGCTGCCTGGAGACGAAGAGAAACCGTTCCAGGTCCTCCACAGGTCCCCACGGGTGCTCCAGGTCGACACCGATGCCGACGCCGACGCAGACGACGCCGACGCCGACGTCGACGCCGACGCCGACGCCGACGCTGCCGCCGCCGGCGATGGCGACGCGACGGCGACGGCGACGCGACGGCGACGGCGACGGCGACGGCGACGCGACGCCGACGCCGACGCCGACCCCGACGGCGGCGGCGACGACCACGTCCACTGCGGCGGCGGCGGGGCAGCGGCAGCCGCAGACGGCGGCGGCGGCGGAGGCGCACCGCAGGCTTTGGTCCGCGGATGGAGGGCTGGGCTTGCTCAGGTTGACGGCGCGAGAGCGCGAGGATGAGCGCGATTGTGCGCAGCGCGCAGCGATGACATGAGCTGACGAAGGTCCTCACCACACACCAAGCCACCCCAACCCAACCCGAAGGCCTGAATTCGCCCTCCATTTCCAGAGGGGGGGGGTCGGGGAACAATGAAAAAATACATGGACCCCTTTCCCCCCCCACCCCGAAATTCGGGTCGAAGTCGGGTCTTCGGGTTGACTTGGGGTGTTCTGGTAGGTGGTCAGGTCCTTTGGCAGGGTCGGGTGCCAGAAACTCAATGTGGGCGTGGCGCAGACAGCTCAGGGCATAACAGCAGGGTCGGGGCGAGGTGGCCGATCGTGAATGCTGGTTCGGGGAAGAAGTGCGCTTCGCCAGTGCTGCAGCGACTGAGTGTGCACAAGGCATTTGAGATTTGTAGCTGGCGCGCTTGAGCAGGATAGTGCGAAGGAGAATACCCACGCGAGAAAAAAAGAGAAGAAGGCTGCTGAAAAGGAGAAGACAGCCCGCGACTCAGATGAAGGAGATGAGGCAAGTGAACAGGAAGAACATGTAGAGAAAGGCAAGAAAAGGAGCATAGCCCCACCGTGTTGCACCTCTCTCGGCGACCATGCTGCTCTGACGGTTGCTGTGATATGTGTTCCACTTGTGTTGGTCGGTTATCGCATATGTTTTGTGTCTAGTTTTGTCGTGTCAGCTCGGTCTATATGATATTGGCGATGTAGTATGGGTAACTATGGGTAACAGGCGATCTCGGGTATACTGTCGGGTGGATTTGGATGGTTCGCATCGCACCTGATGCACAACGTTGTATTCAAGTGTGCAGTGCTGCGCCAACCCTCGACTGCCCATCTGCGAGGAAACGCGACGGCAGCCACGCCGACGCCGAGAAGGCGAAGGCGCGCGCGGGGGCAGACAGATCCTGAGGCCACAGGCAAGGCCAGAACTACAGCGGGCACGGCGACAGACAGGGAAGAGAGCAAGAGAGAGAGGGAGAGATTCTATGTGTCGACTAAGTGGCGTGCATGGTATGTGGGGTGGGTGGGGAAGACGGAGGCACAACGATAAGTAGCCATCGTGGGAGAAATTCACGGAGATGGGAGCTGCGAGATAATTACAGGAAGTAGGAGGCATAAAGAGCGAGGGTATGACGTTGTGTCGGGAAACAGGGGGGGGAGAGAGAGAGAGAGAGAGAGAGAGAGAGAGAGCGCGAGGGCGAGAACGAGAGAGACAGAGAGAGTGATCGATAGAGAGAGAGAGAGAGATAGGCCGAACATGCAAAAGAGAGGGAGAGAGGGATACACACACATATATATATATATACACATATATGTAAACATATCATCGAGATGCACAGTCATAAAGACAGAGAGAGAAATAGTGAGAAAGAGAGAAAGAGAACGCCACGCCACAAAACGAAAATCGTATGGCATCTCTCTTGGACGTTCCAGGCTTACTTGGAGGGACTCGAGAGAGTGTCGACGGCTTCCGCGTGCTTCTCGGGGCCCTCCTCGGCCGTCCAAGGAGCCTCTGCATTGGGAGGGTTGGCGGAGAAGGACGAGAAGCATGTTGAGAGCGGAGAAGAAGGGTGTGGGCGAATATTCAGGATGTCGATGGTGACGGGGAGCGGTGCGTGCACGGAGGCGCATGCACGTGTCGCAGTTGCATACATGTTTTCATGCACATGCGCGGGCGCGTAAGAGAGGGATGGTAGTTGTTGGTGTTGGGTCTCCGTCGGAAGGCGGACAAGGCTCAGCAGGCGCCGAAGGAGAGTGTCAAAGCGAAGGACAAATCGAGTCAGGTGGATAAAACAAAGAGTAAGTCTGGTAGCAAGGAGAAGGACGCCGCGAAGGGAAAGAAAGGTAAGCCCGTAAATGGTGATGCCAAAGGCGGTAAAAAGGCGAACAAGGATCCTCCTCAACAGCTGCCTAGCGCCCTTGCTTGTACATTGCGTCCCGCTGCCGTTATTGAGAATGCACTGGCCGCTGCTCTCTGTGGAAAGGTGGTCAGCGATGCTATCATCGTCGTTCGACAATTGAAATTGCGATCATCAGCTCTCAAACCCAGGATACTGTACTGTCTGTTTCTCTGCGAATGCCGGACAACAAAATTGAGGGCCACGAGACGATTGTTTAGGGCCCCTTGTGGGGTAGAGCCCGAAATATGCTTCCATTTTAGGCCCTGACCCCCCCCCCAGGGGCAAACATCTGCCCAAATCAAGTGCTTTTCTGATTACGGTGCTTCAGGAGGCACCGCGCCCGCCCTCGCCCTGTCTTCCTTCTCTTTAGCTCTTCCTCCTGCCCGTCTCCTCCTCCCCGGCCTTCCCTGCGCTTGGGGGGAGGAGGGATCCCAGGGGGCGCGTGTGGCGCGGCCATTGTGCCCTCTGGCGCCCGGGGGGGGTCCGTCCCCCTTCGCGGGTAGCGAGAGAGCATGCTCCATTATCAATTGCCCATTGTCTCCTCTCCTCTCCCCTGTTGTGCCAGTGGGCAGCGAACCTGCGGCCCGAATGTCGGCCAAGCTGCTGAGACAGCTTGGGGCAGCACTCATGAGCCACATTCCGGGACCTTGGTTTGCCATCCCCCCCTCCTCTTCTTGCTCCTCTTCGTCTTGCCCAAACCGAATCGTGGTGCCACTTTCTTGACGAGCACCGGCTGGACGATTCGAGGTCGTCAAGTGCTCTCCTGTCTCAAAGTGTTCGGCGGGAGTTTGCAGCTCTCCCACTTATCTTCCCCTGCCTCCTCCTCCTGGCTCCACTCTTTCCGTATCCTATTGCCGCTCTTGTTGGATTTATGTGGTTTGTCATTTGCGCTACAAGGGCTATATGCGTATTCACGTGTGTCAGTGTCCCCTGTCCTTACCTACGCGTTTGGGTTCGCCTATTCCAGGTTGATCGGCGAGCTATTCCAGGTCATTATTATGTTTCTTCCTCCTTCACTCCGCCCCCCCCCCCCCTTCCGTGCTGGCGTCGTCGTTTCACCCTGGCGGCAGGACAGTTTGCCGATTCCCCAGTCATTTCTCAGACGTTGGCATCGATTCATGCTGAAAGTCTTGCCCATGTCGAAGCTTGTGCGTGTCCACTTTGCACTGGATCGCCACCTTCAATCCTAGCTCAGTGGCAAGACCCTATGCAACAAAGCTTCTTTACACTGCACGCACGCGCTCGTTCTCTTAATGGAAACGCGCCGCAATCTCTGCAAACCTGACTTCAATCACAGCAGCGGTGATGGTTTAAGGCGTTCCACACGAATTACTAGACTCTTTGAGCTCTGATTATGGACTCCCTGCTTTTATCCTGGACTCTTAGCCTGCCAGTGCCCTGTGCAGGAGGGAGAGAAGAAGGTGAAGGCCGAGGAGAAAGAAAAGGATAACGGCACGGAGAAGGTCAAGGACAAACATAGCAAGAACAGTGGGAAGGAGAAGGAAAAGGAACAGGACAAGGCAACGGAGAAGGACAAGGACAAAGAGAAGGACAAGGATAAGGACAAACAGAAGGCAAGGGCAAGAGCAACCGAGGCGAAGGAAAAGGAAAAGGCCAAGGCCGAGAAGAAGGATAAGAAAGCTGCCGCGGAGAAGGAGAGAGAGGCCCACGCCGCCACACCAGCCGTCTCCTCTTCCTGATCGTTGCCTCTCTTCGTCTCACGGCCGCTGCCGATGCGAGGGCCCGTCGTCTCGTTCCCTCCTCCTCGAGGACGCCTCGTGGCGTGACACCAGTGAATGGGTGGCGTGTGCCTCCAGCGGCCTGCAAGCGTCTCCCGTAATTTCCAGGGAGCCTCCCGTCGCTTCGGGGGGGGGTCTTCTTGGGCCTCCAGGGCTGTGGCGAGTGCGGGTTCTGCAGGGGCATCCGCAGGGCCCTCAGTTGCAAGGAGCTTGCAGGGGCCTCCAGGGGTCTTTGCGGCCGTGGAGGCGGTGGAGGGTGGAAGCCGGCCGGCATCTGCGCACGAGGGTGCCGCACGAGAATGGCTGACGACAGGCGAGGGGGCGGCACGACGACGACCGACAAAGTTGGTGGGCTTGGCCGGAAGGCCTCAGGGAGGCCCGAAGGGCGAGAGGCAGAGCTCGTGAGGCCTGCGGGTGCCCGGAGGGCATGGGAGGTCCTGGGGCTGCTCGGGGCAGAGCCGCAAGGGGCTCCACGAGTGCTCGGAAGGCATGCGGAGGCCTGGGGCCAAGCCCTGCGGGGGCTCACTGAAGGCAAACATTGGTCCCGCCATCCCCGATGCATGCAAGCCGTCGCAGACATTTGGCTGAGGAGCGCTTCGCCGGGAGCGCGACACGTCCCTTGCACCAAAAACTGACGCAGCTCCCCCTGCAAACATCCAGAGGGCGACGCGACAACGATCACCCCGACCGAGGTGTAGGGTTAGGGGTTTTGTGGGGCGGGTTGGGGGGGTGGGTGGGGGCCTTGGTGTGGCCGGAGCGGCCCGAAGTGCTCGGGCAGGCGGGGAGGGCGGGGAGCAGAGCTGGAGGGGGCACGGGAGTCGCCCGGAAGGCCCTGGGTGCTCGGGGCAGACCTGGGAGGGCCCTGGCCGTCAGTGGAGGGCCTGGACTTTGGAAGGCACAGCAGGGAAGCCCTGGAAGCGGGGGCCTGGAGGCTAGGGGGAAGTTCATGTCATCGTTGTGTTCTCGGAGCCGAAGCCGTTGCCTCAGATGAGGCCCCGCGTGAAGTCCAGGCTCACACGAGCAGCTGCAACTTGTGCCTCTCGAGCTGCGCAGCAGAGAGCAGAGGCTAGGGGGAAGCAGGAGAGGAGCTCAGGGTCTTGGGAGAGGTGGCCAGGGGCTGGGGCGACGGACGGGTCGGAGCCCAGAAGCATGGGACGGGCGGGGATGGCCCTAATCTCAGCCTCCTAGATGGGGTCGGAGTAGGTGGGGTCGGAGTATCGCGCCGCATCGCCGACGCATCGCCGATGCAGCTCGATGTGGAGCCCGATTTGCTTCACGCCCGACGTCGCCGATGCATCGACGACGTCGACGATGCATCGCTGGTGCATCGCCGAGGCATCGCCGATGCATCGCCGATGCATCGACGATGCGCCGATGCGATGCATCGACGATGCATCGCCGATGCGGCGCGAGCCTCCGACCCCCTCCTCCTCGTCCTCCTCCTCCTCCTCCTCCTCGTCCTCCTCCTCGTCCTCCTTTTCTTCTTCCTCCTACTCCGACCCCATCTAGGAGGCCCCTACCCAAGTGGGCAGGACGGAGATCCGCGGGCCCCTCTCGGGCGCGCCGCCGCGAGTGGGGCCGGCGGCGCCCTGATGCTCCACTCTGGCCACGCGGTGCGCCTCCAGCGGCGCGGGGCCGCGGCCCACGCGCCGAGCCCCAGCGGGGCGCGCGGGGCTCCTCGGCGCCGTCAGCGTCGCTGGCGCGCGAGCGCCGCGGCAGCACTCGCTTCTGCGCCGCCTTCTCGGGTCTCGCCTGGCCTGCCGGGACGGTCTGGCCACACCGCCCGTCCAGGCAGGCCGCACCGACCCGGGACCGCGCGTCCAGGGCCCACAGTGCGAGCAAGTGATCGGAATCCCGCCACCCCACTGTCCAGGCAACGATTCGAAAGATTCCAGAATAGCTATGTTTTGAATCGCCACCGCCGATTTTTCCGTAACCCTGTGGTCGCATCCGGGATCGAGAGTTGCGCCCGGAAGGCATCTGCTCCGTGTGGCTTGGCGTGGCCAGAGCCCGGGAAATAGAGCCCCGAGAAGGCGTGCGGCATGTCCGGAGGGTTTGACCGTGTCCAGAGTTTCGGACATCGAGGTCAGAGCCGAACCAGGTCCGAGGCCAACGTGCCCAGTCTAGCTATTATCCAGCGTTCTTCTTAAGCGTTGTTGACCTGCTTGGGTTCTGGATTCGCCGTGGCCGACATCTCATACAATTCATTATTTTCGTCTGGCACGCCCCACTGCCGCACCCGCTGGAAGGCCGAAGAGGAGAAGCAGAAGAAGGCTGCTAAGCAGAAGGATCGCTGGGGCGCTCCCCGCGCCGAATCGTCGATACAGAAACTCGCGTGGTTCCCCCAATCGGTGCTGGGACGACAAGGGGAACACAGGGGTTCAGATGTCATTACAAAGTGACTCCAACAAGTTCCCAACGCGTCAAGCTGGTTGCAGGAGAGGCTCTTGCTCAGGCCGTCTCGAGCTGTCTGGAGGCTCTTTCGGGTACCCTTGGGCCTTCTTAGAGGCCTCATGAGCCGTCTCGGGGCCCTCCTTGGGCCGCGTTGAGGCGCTCTTGGGCCGCCCAGGGTTCCTCGAGGCAGTGTTGGAACCGTGCGGGGCCCCTCGAGGCAGCCGTGTGGGCCATCTTGGGGGACATCGAGCAACATGGGGGGATCCCAGGCCTTCTTGGGCCCTTCTGCTCTCTTGGGCGATCTTCGAACTGGCTTGAGTCACCAGCAGCCCATCGGAAGCGAAATGACGAGAAGCCAAACGCACCGTGGGATCTTGAACGGGGGGCGCCCTCGAAGAGCTCCAGGGCCACTCGCAGCAGTACCGAGGCCGCCTTGGGGCCCCCCTGAGGCATGCTGGATGCCGCCTTGAACCAACTGACAACCTTGCGCCATTTGGAAGCCCTCTTGGGGCGTACAGGGCCATCTTGGCCCAAGCCCTCCAAAGGATGCTCCCGAACAACATCTTTCAACAACTTCAGGGTTTTTCAGTGAGCCTTACCCCGTCAGAGGCCGAAAGATCGCCCCTTGGAGGCCCATTGGAACGCTCCTGTGGCGTGGTTGCTGCGTCACTGGGCGTTGTCGGGTCCGTCCTAGGTTCTTGATGGGACCCTCTTGGGGCTCGCTTGGGCGATCTTGGAGCGATGACGAGGCCTCAGAGGTCCACTGCAAGCGAAAATGCGAGAAGGCAGCCAGTTTGAACAGCACTTGGCGTTTGAAGGATATTGGCCTCTCTGGCGTATACCTGTGAGGCACCTGAACAAGTTGTAGCAGTATTGGGGGCGATCGTGTGCTCTTTAGGGAACGTGTTTGGATTTCTGAGCTACCCTGCTGGTGCCATCTGGGGCCATCCTAGAGCCATCTTGGGCCAAACGCTGCCCTCTGACGCCTCGCGCGGGCGAAGGGGAGGAGGAGGAGGAGGAGGAGGAGGAGTAGGAGGAGGAGGAGGAGGAGGAGGGGGAGGAGGAGGAGGAGGAGGAGGAGGAGGAGGGAGGAGGGAGGAGGGAGGAGGGAGCAGGGAGGAGGAAGGAAGAGGAG